ACACTCTCTTAACTCTCCCTGCACACTCTCTCACACCACACTCTCTCTCTCTTAACTCTCCCTGCACTCTCTCTCACACACCACACACTCTCTCTTTACTCTCCCTGCACTCTCTCTCACACACCACACACTCTCTCTTAACTCTCCCTGCACTCTCTCTCTCACACACCACACACTCTCTCTTAACTCTCCCTGCACTCTCTCTCACACACCACACACTCTCTCTTAACTCTCCCTGCACTCTCTCTCTCACACCACACACTCTCTTAACTCTCCCTGCACTCTCTCTCACACACCACACACTCTCTCTTAACTCTCCCTGCACTCTCTCTCTCACACCACACACTCTCTTTACTCTCCCTCCACTCTCTCTCACACACCACACACTCTCTCTTAACTCTCCCTGCACTCTCTCTCACACCACTCACTCTCTCTTAACTCTCCCTGCACTCTCTCTCTCACACACCACACACTCTCTCTTAACTCTCCCTGCACTCTCTCTCACACCACACTCTCTCTTAACTCTCCCTGCACTCTCTCTCACACACCACACACTCTCTCTTAACTCTCCCTGCACTCTCTCTCTCACACCACACACTCTCTCTTTACTCTCCCTGCGCTCTCTCTCTCACACCACACACTCTCTCTTAACTCTCCCTGCACTCTCTCTCACACCACACACTCTCTCTTAACTCTCCCTGCACTCTCTCACACACCACACACTCTCTCTTAACTCTCCCTGCACTCTCTCTCTCTCACACACCACACACTCTCTCTTAACTCTCCCTGCACTCTCTCTCACACACCACACACTCTCTCTTAACTCTCCCTGCACTCTCTCTCACACACCACACACTCTCTCTTTACTCTCCCTGCACTCTCTCTCACACACCACACTCTCTCTTTACCCTCCCTGCACTCTCTCTCTCTCACACCACACACTCTCTTAACTCTCCCTGCACTCTCTCTCACACACCACACTCTCTCTTAACTCTCCCTGCATTCTCTCTCACACACCACACACTCTCTCTTTACTCTCCCTGCACTCTCTCTCACACACCACACACTCTCTTAACTCTCCCTGCACTCTCTCTCACACCACACACTCTCTCTTAACTCTCCCTGCATTCTCTCTCACACACCACACACTCTCTCTTTACTCTCCCTGCACTCTCTCTCACACCCCACACACTCTCTCTTTACCCTCCCTGCACTCTCTCTCACACACCACACTCTCTCTCTCTCTCTTTACTCTCCCTGCACTCTCTCTCACACACCACACTATCTCTTTACTCTCCCTGCACTCTCTCTTTACTCTCCTTCCACTCTCACACAGAATTCCTCGCTCGCTCCGTGCGAGCGCCTTTCTCTCTCCCCGGCAGCGCGCTGACGATGTGGATCTTGTCGAGAGCGCGACACCAGCGAAGAATAATCGAAACAACCGCGCGTCCCGCGGCGCTTAACGCACCGAAACAAAAAAATTAACTCAAACAACGCGCAATGCACGCCGATGATGTTGGACACGGACTCACGCACACGTAACCCCTCGTGCGAGTGCACTGCGGCGTGTTGGTGTGTGCCGATCGCCGGCGGGATAGCGAAACTACACGAACTCACCACGAAGCCATCCGTTCGCCGTGGCCAGCAGACCTCGACAACATCGCATTTAGCTCACGAACCGCATTGCTACCGCGCGCAAGGATGGAGTCGAACGGTGCACCATCGCCGTTTTGTCAATGCACGCCAAGTAGGTCGTGGGGATTATTTGACCGTTGCTGGTCAGTACGGGTTAAATTAATGTTGGGGCGGTGGGGGGGGAGGTGCATGGACTTGGGGGGGGGGGGGGCATAGAAGTACACAACAACAATGGGCTGCCCTCTGCTGCCCATAACGTGGTCGTCCATCGGAGCACTATATACAAGCACTGTAATACCACAGGGTCACAACCTGCTGAGCTCGACGAGATATAACGAGATCGGACGCATTCGCGGGTGATTTGGTCAAAGAGGCTATTTGTAAGAACACACTGGCGGAAACAATTTGCAACAATAGCGGAGGCGGATGAGAGTGCATTCCCCCCCCCCCCATGCAGATGTGGAATTTGCTATAAAACAGGTCCGGTGGCCACTTAATAAATTGGATTAGTTGCAGGATGGTGTGCAAGCAGATGTAAACAACAGGACTCAAACAGACAAGGGCTGCCCTGTGTCTGCTATTGTTGAGATCAACGTTATGTCACGGCACTGTATGTGTTTCATTTGCGTCCAACTGGCACCCATATCTAACAAAGAGGGGGCCTATAGTATATGGCAGTTCCCCATCAGCGGTTTAAGCGTGCCTGACTGCTGATGAAACATTTCATGTTGAAACCAGTCCAGAGTAACCAATGCTGCTGAAAAACATGCTCACTCCCAGAACATCGTGTGTCCGATGGTTGACAAAAATATTCGAGATAGATATTGTAAATGTGCATATTGTATGCCTATTTACCACTGGTCCTTGCGCCGATATATCTCCACATTTCTTCCACCGTGATTTTCAATTACAGAGTGGCACGTGAAGTATAAATTAAAATGTTCTTGGTGTCAGAGGTGCCTCCGCGTACACACTAAGTAAATTTCAGTGCATTTGTGGCTGGCAGACTCTGAGTCAGATTCAATTAGCTTCGCTTTCCATATTTAAATATCACAGTTGCCACGGTTCGCCTAGTTATGATTCACAGGGAACATCCAGTGACCGTTTGATTAATTTCATTCATTTGGGTTGTATATTCCATTGCATTTGGATTTTTTGAGAGTCTTAGTTGATTCCTCTCGGAAATAAATATAAAGCTGATGCGTAAAAGTAATGCAAACCAAGCATGGTCACAGATCTAGGTAAAGATTCAACCCTGGTTGGAACGGGTGGGGCATGTGTGCAGGATGGTGGCAGAGCCAATTGCAGAAGACCGGAGCAGATGGGGGGATGCTTTTTCTGACAGATCTTGGAAGTCATGTGTCTGCTATGCAGCAGAAACTGGCAGATGATAGAAAGTGTTGAAGTGTGGCGGCATCAACAGCTTAGGGGCCGTCCATAAATGACGTCACGCACCTGGGGGGGGGGGGGGGGTCAGACATTAGGGACGATGTGTGACAAGGGGGGGGGGGGGGGTTGAGAAATGTGACGTCACATCAAAATGCGCAACTTTAAATAAATATAGATAACACGTTCTACTTAATTAAATATACTTTGTAATAAATGTTTTCTCCTACAACATCAGAGTGCAGCGCCACATTAAATGCGCACTACAATTACAATAGTTTAAAACGATTTGAAGCATGTGTTTTTTTTGGGGGGGGGGGGGCAGAGCTTTGTGACGTCATATTTGAGGGGGGGTCTGACTTTTTGTGACGCCGTGTGACGAAGGGGGGGGGGGTCAAAAATCGTACAAAATCGTGTGACGTCATTTATGGACAACCCCCTTTGGCTTCGATGACATCTTGATCTCGAAAGGTACAGCTCTGCAGCTCGTACCCATGTCACTCTTGCAATTGAGACGAGCCTGGTCTCTGGAGTTCACGCCTGGTTAAAAAACAAAGAATCTTGCTTGCTTACGCTACCGTTGACGGGCCTTCACAAGATCGAGCACTAGTCTTTCCAAAAGTTAGTCCACACGAGCTGTACACCACCACATGCCAAGCGAGTGTCATCAGTGCTATAATAATAAAATTGTAGATTACTGTACTGCGAATCGAACATGGTGCTAAATTGCTTATGAAATAACAATATGGACTCAAAACGTTTACACGTTGTTGAAAATGAACAATCTGCAAAGAAATTAGGTTTTTTTGGGGGTTATATCGCGTAAATGTTGTTAAAACCCGCCACCACCCGAGACAGCCAATTTGCAAGGGTTGGCTCTCCAACACATACCAACACATGCCAAGCCACAGCATTTACAAATGTAAATGTTGTGGCTTGGCTCTCCAACTCACCGGTGTTGCTGTACTAGTGACGAATTGGCCAAGTTCTGTTAACTTGACAACCCTTACTAGTTGGCTGTGTCGGGTGGTGGCGGGTTTTAACGACACGTTTATACATTTACGCGATCTAACCAAAAAAAACCTCTTATGGATATTGGTCGCGAAAGCCTACGTGTTAATGTGCAAAGAGCATGTGATATTGACTGCCATTTAATTCACCTGTCGACCCTCACTACTCACTCTCCACACTCATGGATGGCAGATAAATGGCGTGTTGAGCCGCATGACGGGCTGCCCTCGAGATTTAAATACTGAGATGAATTCAGTGTAAAAAAATCCCTGTACTACTTGTGTACGTATTTCCCGCAGCAAAAGTGGCTACGTAAACTCCGTTAAATCACCATTAAGCGCTATTGCCACGGGGGGGCTATTGTTGCACCACACGCTTCATTCCAGCGTATTAGTGGCTATCAATAAAAAGGCGCTCTATACAATTGAACGGCAATTAATGCCCTCCCTGCTTGTTGTTCATTGTATCACAACCAGGATCTCCTGAACTACCATGGTAAATGGTATCGATGCCCTCCCGCTACTATCCTTAAGGAAATAATATCCATGTGATAGACTGGGGAGTGGCGCAGTGGCTGACAGACTTGGCTCTGAACCTGGTGACTGGAATTCGATATCCAGCCATGGCTAACTTGAGCTATGAGTGGTATCTGAGCCGGTCTTGGGTACCCCCACCCCTCCCAACCCATACCGACCAGTGTGGGGTCAAGTAAGGTCACACCACCCCATGACCAACACGATTTTACGAGGCCTTCATCCAAAACAAAAGATTGAAAATGCATAGAGAAGTATTATTTAGAGTTTAACAGCATGTCATGTATTAACTGGCTAATCGCCTTCTCGTTTTGATAGCTGCCTCTGGACATGTGCAGCAGTGTTCATTCCAAATTAAAGATTTGAAAAATAACAGTATTTTAAACTTACAGTATTGCACACATTACAAATAATGCACACTTATGAAATCCAGTCCACAAGACATGACAATCAATAATTTTAATAAATTCTCACCCCAATTTCAATCAACTCCAAAATGAAGCAAAACAGAGTAATATCAATAACAGAATTTGAAACTTATAAAAAAAATTAAAACACTTAAACCAAGTTATGAAATATATTTTTGGATAAAACACAATCATCATTTTTAAACCCTTAATTTTCACTTGGAGCAAAATGCTAATTTTGCAAAATGGAGCAAAATTCCAACAGAAATTGAAAAATTTCTAAAAATACAAGGCACATATGCAAACCACGAGGCACAAAATATCCTCATCTATATTTTTAATTCCTTAATTTTAACTCAAAAAGCATTTTCCACAAGCCCCAAAATGAACGAACACACCAACAGCTGTAGGGGCAGTGCAGGATATAAGTTGCCCAAGCAATGAAAAGACTTTTCGATTTAAAGCTTTCATGACTGCAAGGATTCATCTTCTTTGGTTCTTTCGGTAAAGTGACGTAAAGTCACGTAGAATGAGAATAAAATATGATTTTATTTTAAAATATTATTTTATTTTATTCTCTAATAAAATATTATTTTATTTTAAAATATTATTTTATTTTATTCTCTAATAAAATATTATTTTATTCTCATTCTACGTGACTTTACCGAAATAACCAAAGGACAATGAAAAGACATTTAGTGGAAAGTCCAAATATGCAGTACACTTCTTAAAAGTAACACACTTGCATCACTTTCATTTCTAAAAATCGGTCCAGTATCACCAATGCAAATTGAATGTTACACAAAGGCACAATGCGCTTGATAATCGCACTCCGAAACGATGGAATTACTGTACCACCGTTGTTTCATTTAGAGATGTGCTCAGCACTGAATGTGAATGTAAATGTTGTGCCCTTCGAATGTATGGCGAACGGCACTAAAACGTTAAAGTTACAGGTACAAAGGTCGATCTGTAACAAAATGTCGAAAGATGCATCTGCATTGTTGAACCTCAGAATGTATGCACCCCTACTAATTATAACTGGTTTAATCTCACACTTACTCTTCTCCTTTCGAACGGTATGAAATTTGTGAGAAACTTTTTATGTCCTCGTCGATCCAGCGCGGCCTGCTGGAAATCCGAAAGAGCTGCCGATGCATGATCGTTGCGGGCAGCGGTGCTACCGTGTGGTCTGCTGTTTGAGATCGGCGACCACATTTGCATTGGGAAATTAACGTTCCAAATGTATTACAAAACAAATGGAACCGTCTAATCTCGTACATCCGATGAGTGCCGCTAGTCCCATGGCTCTCCATGACATTTCCGTGTAGTGAAGTCAGAGAGACAGCGCCACCTCATGGTGGTGAGTGTTCTGCAAATGTTGTGTGTGCCATTTACTTCCCAACGCATGTTGTTTTCCTTGCATGTGCAAGATTTTCCTTCGTGTTTTTATTAGGTTATAGCAGAAATATTTGTGCGTGTTGTTCAATCAATGTGTTTATGTATATCGATTACACATGAAATTAATAGACTGTCTTGATTGTTTGGTTATTGATTCACTGATTATATTTACATTTATATCATAACAATTTAAGTTAGATACAAATCCCACAAATTAGTTTTTAGAAAAGTGTACAATTTAAACTTTTGCTTCATGCATAAAAAGGTAAAACATGACTATAATAATTACAATTAATGGACCACTGAGATTACTCTGGGTATATCAAAGTAAAACGTTTTAAAGTGAATGTTGTACACATTAATAAAAAAACAAATTTTACTGAAAAAATGGCAGTGGTTAATACACTGTGCTCTTATTCTGGAACCCGAGTTCAATTCCCAGCTGTGGGCTAACATCAGCAGCAAGTGATACCTGAACTGGTCCTCTATACCCTTCCCCCACCCCATCACCAACCTGCACTGACCAGCGTGAAGTATAATAATAAAAACAACAACAATCAACAGCACAGGAGAGGCCTTCATCCACGAGAAGAGTGACAAACGAATGTAAAATAAATGTGAACTTTTTTTTCACTCGAAAAAATAACAAATTGTCAGTATTAAACCAGCACATAAAAATGTATGACATGAACAACAAATCTCGTACCGCACGTTGAACAAGGGATAACTCTCTAATGTTGAACATCAGGCACAACAATACATTTCAGTGTATATGTTCATCAGGTAACACAATACACCAACCTTCAAACTAAAACTCCATTCAAGTCTACATACTTGCATTTAGAATTTACCAATTAGGGGGTAGTGGATGATCTTTGCAGGATCACAAACAATATCATTGCTAGGGGTGAAACTTTTGGAGTAGCTGTTTGGCACAGGAATGCCAGCTTCGGCATGCCGAGAACAGTTCACAAGGGAGAACTCTCGGCTCCAACACATCTGAATCTGTCCCAGCAGCTGGGTGTTTTCCTCCTGGTAGAAAAAAAAAACACAGCCACGGTAACACACAACAGTTGAGCAACGGTTCAGATCAACAACACTAAACAAGCAATGGCCACTCTTTTAACTTATTGTAAAGATGAAGACAAAGGTGCTCATGCCCACTGCTGGTGAAAGGGCCTCCACTAGAAGGAAGCTCTAAAGAGGTCCCTGCCAGACACCTCCACGCTGACAAAATGTCTTCGAGAAGGTGGAAATGTCCACACTTTATCCCACACCATACACGACCTGCCAATCGATATCGTGTGTTGTACCCATTCATACTGCTGCGTGGGCAGAGGTGAGGGGGGATTTAAGAAACTTGCACCACCATTGTTGCCACTGCCGTGCCGGGAGATTGAAGCAGTGACCCGAGTGTGATAACCGTTACACCATGGCAGCATCCACAAACGTATTGTAATGTGAACAATATTCATATTCTTGGTTCTTTCGGTAAAGTCACGTAGAAGGGAAACAATAAAATAATAAAAAATATAAAACAATATTGTTTTTTATCGTTTTATATTTTTATTATTTTGTTTCCCTTCTACGTGACTTTACCGAAAGAACCAAGAATATGAATCCCTGCAATCACGAAAGCTTTAAATCAAAATTGAACAATATTTCTTAACATTTTGGCTTTTAATACATCCGGTATTCCTATTTATCCCCAACAAAACTTCATCCAGACATTCGCATAACAATGAAGGCAGGGCCATGGACTGGAAACCGTAGAACCTATGCTGGCCTCTGCTGAATGCCCCATTCTTAACCACAAATCTAAGATATGAATGGGAGTGGTTTGCTCTGGGCCTGTCGACTGATACAAAGGAGTGTACAACCCTCACAGATGGCATTAACACAACCGTGTAACCAAATGCAGAGTAACTGAACACTTACACTAAACACACATTGAAGACAATGACAAAAAATCCACATTGAAACCTGTATAACTCTTGGTGACCACCAGAGGGCTCCACCTCAGGACCTTAATCAGAGCTGTTCAGTGCTTTCACGTTGACATCATCACCTTGAGCCGTTTAGCCAAATGAATACACTTTTTGCATTCATAACATAAATCAAATAGCAGTCAATCTTCACTTAGTGAAAGGTTGCTCATTCTCCTCTGCTGCCCCCACAGTCTGGAACTCCCTTCCCCCATCTAACTGTGCTGTCGACTCCATGCGGCTGTTCATGTGCAGGCTCAAAACCTTCCTTCTTTCCCTCTGCCTATGGGCTGGCTGACTGCCTCCCTCTCTTTTTCCATGACAGAAATAATCCCACCCCTTCAGGACATCCTCGTGAGGTACGGTTTCATTTGAGATGCTCGATAAATACAAATCGTTTTCCAACTTTTAAACTGTTGTTACCACACGGATACCATTCTTTACATATAACTTAAGTTGGCTTACCTGGGGAACTGTGAGGCACTGCAACTTGGCCTTGACCCCAAAAGCTGTCGAAAACGCTTCAAGGATCTGTTCCTCCTGGTATAAAAAATTATTATTTTATTCAAATTGTATCAGTCAGGTCAATGAAGTATGTACATTTTCTCACAATAATATAAGATGTAATATCAGAAAATCATATTAAAAAATACTTATTTTTGTAACCCAATTTTTCATGATTAAAAGTGAAACTGGAACAAAAATTGGAGTGTGATTTTTGGAGTCAATGGAACCTTTCAAATGTGTTGAAATGTATTTAATATTATTTTATAGTGGTCACATCAATCATAGCAGTCAACCAAAGTGGACATGATGCATGCAGGGGTGAGATGTTTTATTTTTTAGGTTAATGATACGCTCGTTTTATCTATCAACATTTCAACCTGTTAGCTGTGAATCAAAGAGCTGCTATGACAAAGTAAAACCATTTCGATTTAAAGCTTTCGTGACTGCAAGGATTCATCTTTCGGTACAGTCACGTAGTGCTTCAAAGCCATTGAAGCACTGTCGTCCCGACAGTTCTGTTCTTACACCTGATGAAGGCTACTTGTGTTGTGGCCGAAACGTCATGAGAATGTTATTGTCTTATTTTATTTCATTATTTTATTCTCATTCTACGTGACTTTACCGAAAGAACCAAAGAAAAAAAGTAAAACCAATGCTACCGTTTAAAACGAGCATTCAACAGTGACTTCAGTATATTGATCTTACCTTGTAGAAAACTGTGTTCGATGGGGTCACACCAGCATCACTTAGAGCTCTGAGAACAAACAATAAATAACACAATATTACCTTTTTATACCAGACTTGTAATAGTCCAAATATTAAAGACAAACAGCCTGTTTTTAATTAGCATGTTGAGTTACATAAAGGAAAAATTAAGTGTAATGTCTGCTCGGCATCTACCAACAAATTGTAAATGAGTAGTATCAATATTTGAGCTTGATACACATCAATTCGTAGATGTCGTACATCATGGGTTATGTGGCTTCTGTGGCCACTCGAGGCTGCTACATTCATCACAGACTTTGAAAAGAGAATCGTTTCTTGAATCAAATTAATCAAAACACTTAATCAGGAAAATGTGTTGAATCACTGGGAGGCCAGGAGCTGTGATTGTTGTAAAATACAGTTGTACACTTTGGGTGAAATTCGGCATCTCAAATTGCATATGCAACACCAAAGTGGCTCACAATTGAAAGGTTGCGAGTTAAAAATGCTGGTTGGTAGTTGATTCAGGCCATCATTCCTCCGGGGTCACTAAATTTAGCACCACTTTGTAAGGAAGTCAAGTGGTCATCCTCTGAATGGACTCACCCCTGCCATAAGAATGTGAAACTACCATCACTGGCTCAGGGCTGTACACAGGACACGTGCACTGCCTCAAAGGCTCATTTTAAGCCAGAAATTACTTAAAAGCCTAATTTTTTCTTTTTTTTACTTGCCAAAAACAAACCCGACACTCCAGCTTTTCATTTAAAATAATTAGATTTCCCAACGGTTCGCGGAATAACTACATCATCGTTCGCTCACGATATTCCTGGCTGCGGTGCGTTTCGGCGTGCTTACTTGCTGATGTCAAGCTTCTGGTAGAGCTCCATGGTCTTGCTGAAATAATTGTGCTGGGAGTTGAGGGCCTCGAGGGTGGCAGCACAAGTGCCATGTCTTATCCATTCATGTTTCCTGTAACACAGTAATTCAACAGTGCGCTCATTCACTTAAACTGCATATGAATGTGCATTATATGGACGTGCTTGCCTTTCTTGATGGATGGATTACCAAAGGTCAGTGCCATTGGTCTTCTCAAGGTCTGGCCAGAATTGGTCCAGTTGTGGCAGTAAATCCTGGCAAGCAAAATAACACATTTCAATGATTTTTTGTGATGGAATTATATCATCATCGTCAGCAGCAGGCACAGCAACATTTAAGATTTTTTTTTTAAATGTGATTGTATTTTTTATTAATATAAATGGAGTTCAATACAAAAATGAAAATTCTACAGCTTTTAAAGTTCTAATTGTTTTCAACATGGTCCAACAAGAGCTGCTTTATAAAATGTTTCACCTGGATGTTAGTATAACACATGGTGTTATTACAATATAGGTCCAAGTCTCTCTCGTAGTGAAAATCACATTTCACGAATGGAAATTTTCTTGAAATGTCCCATAAAATGTTCACAATTTATTCTATTCATTTTTGATAGCACAGGAGACTCTTGAATATCGCGGGTGTTACGTTATTGGAAAGTCCCACAACAGTGAAAACTGTGATATTCAATACTTAAGCCCTTCCTTAAATAATGGAGTTAGGTTCATGACAACCAAAATTAGATGTAACAATTGAAATAAGTCTTGTACTGTATGCCAAATAAACCAAAAAAACAAATTACTGAAGTAAACATGTAAAAACCATATACAAAAAACCATTCCAAGACAATAATACACTTCAATATAAATACTGACGAAATACTTTACTTACCGATGATGATGATGATCCAAACCAGGTGTATATTTGTGTTACGACGGTTAGCACGCTGCACTACAAACTTGGCTACCAGTTTGATTCCCGCTCACGCCAAATCTACCGGTGCTAAATCCTAAATGCAAGTGTGCGACGATTATTTGAACCAGTCCAGCGCCTCCTCTAGGTCGACTCAATCTCAAATGAGTACCTGGTGCAGTGTGCAAACATCGCTCGCACTGGGGCGTCGTGCTGTGCCTTGCCACCCTTCAGAGGTGCTCGCATATAGCACTTGCCCCAACAGTCCGTTAAGGCTCTACTGGGGGTCTGTCTTTGTCCGCAAGATGCTTGCACGGCAAAGGCTGAGGTGCAACCGACTGTCCTCAGGTCTCTCACCCACCCCACACCACAGTACCAGCCAATCATATAGTACTTCCGGGTACAGTATACCCGGCGGAAGGCCAACACTAACCCCCATGACATTTAAATTGGCATACAAAGAGGTTTCCCACGATAAGTCGAAATCACAAAAGTGTAGCCCGGGATATTCAAGGGACTCCTTGTAATTTCTCCCCCATTATGTACTACAAAATAAATCACATCATTCGTCATTCGAGAGTTTATAGGCCATAAAAAAGGTGTTCACCCTATTATAGGATATGCAAGTGATTTATTATACCTCAATTTCTTTAACATCAAAATGCCACGATTTGTTGCAGAAAGTCCTGTGGTTAGTCCTGTGAGTAAGAGAAACAAGTAAAAGTTATTTTTAAAACGTTTCCATGTCCTTGACATGTTTTTCAACCTTTATAGACTGAACATCATTTACTTCCTAAACATCCATCAGCAAATGCTGTTATTCGGTTTGTTGGCCTATAGATACTGAGAATAAATATTTGGACTAAAATATATATGCAACAGACTCACCACAGGCCGTGGATTGACCAGCTCTTCACGGAACTTGGAATGGTGCAGTTGTGTTTTTCAGACCACTGGGACTGAGGTCAGAAAAGAAAACCACAAAAACTATTAAACAACGCACGAGAGGAAATTACAACAATAAGCCCTCAATGCCAGCATATGAAGAATGTATGCGTGCAATGCACCACGGCGATGCACATATAACAATTCATCATTGGTCATGATTAGACCCACTGCTGGATGAAGGCCTGTGATGTAACAAACCATCCAGCACCAACACATGAGCATATTTGAGCATGCATCTTAGGTGCCATCCTTCTACTGGCTCCCAAAGTTACTCTAATGGGATGATTTGTGATATGAAATGTATACAAAACTGCAATGTGTGGGCATCAATTTAAACATGATGCACATTTTCTGAATGTAACGCATCCACTTGATGTTAAAATAGTACAGGCGTTGCATATCACACTCAACATTAAATATCAAGACATAGTTGGCAAATATGCCGTTTCTAAGGAACGTTAATATTTTACAATAATTCCCTTTCGGCTCCTCAAACAGGCACCATCCCAATAATCAGAGATCGCAATACCATACAAAAGGACATACCATACAAAAACTCTGGGGCCAGTGCTGTGTCAGAATGAGCTGGCTCCAGTCTTCATAACGCCTCCTGAAAAAGTGTTGCATATTGTGAACCACCAATTACAAAAAAACGTGATTTCTTGCTCAAAATAAACATTGAGTGTTGGTGCTCATTTCCTGGACAACCTCTTGACTTCCCCACAAAGTGGCCCATATTTTATCGGCCCGGAGCAACGATTGGCTGAGTGAACCCCTACCCAGGATTTAAACTCACTAACATTTGATTGGCAACAACAAAATAATGTCCAATAGTAGTGTTTATAAATGAGATGAAAGCATATTATGCATTCACTTTACATTGGGCATATTTGTCTATGTATTCTCTTATGCTACAATAAAAAAAAAAAATATCGTGAAAAGGTACAGACAGACAGCTTGTGCATTTGCAGCTCAATTGCTTCCAGTTTTCCCAGGTCACCTTTGTAAATCAAGACATTATATCTTCAGGCACCCAGCGGGTTAAATAAAGGGCTGACTTATAAAAGCATCACGGCACTTACGCATAAGAAGGCACCGAAACAGCAGCAATGACGAAGATAGCAGCCAACAGTTGGATGTGCCCAGCCATGATGAGATGTGCAGTATCAGCTGGAAACAAATACAGATCTCATGAGTCATGTATGTCCCACGGAAGCAAACCTTACATAGGTGGCACTCTGCATCAACCTTGCTTCATGAATGCTATATACTTTGTTCATTTAAACTTTTTTTTAGTAAATACAACACTCCAGATTAGCTATCCATGCATACAGTGAGAACATGACACGCAGATTTTCATAACCAATATTATTCACGATCAGGTTTTTGAGGTACATTACGTCAATGTAAATGTGTCAGGGAGGTTGTTGTACGATACATTTACATGTATGCGATCTCACTGAAAAATGTAATCATGAATCGTGAGAATACTTCAAAGTTACACTGCATTACTGTTGATTTTATCTACCAGTGCATTTACCATATCTTGCAAGCAACTGGGATATACAAAAGTTTTGCTTTGAAATATGGGTCAGATTTTTTTTTACTCATTAACTTTATCCAATTTTAATTATGCTTCATTTTAGACTATGAAAAAAATACTGTGATAAAGCACATAATTACACAATTAGTACCCAGCTGTAAGGGGCATCAGAGCAGTGCCGAGACTAATTGCTGGGGATTGTTGAACAAACAGCCTTCCTAGCTTAGATTAATGATCATTGTGTGATTACACAGCTTTAACTTGCTACAGATAACCAGACTGATATGCAATCAACATGGATATGAAATCACACTCAGGAACAAAACTGGTGAAAACACTGCCTGAGCCAAAACATGTTAAGGTCACATTAGTTCACACCTGATAGCAAACGAGTTAAACTTATAAAAATATCCTAACTTGCGGATATAATTCGTTATCGCACGTTAATAAAATACGACTGTAAATAACAAGTAGTAGTAATAGGTTTTAACCCTTTTATCTGGCACCAAAACTGACACCTTTATACAAGGGATCATGTTTGCAATAACCACAACACAAGCAGTCAAAATGTAAACAAAAAGAGCCAACTCTGATAATGATATGCACTGTCCTTGAAATTGATTGGTCCACACCCAAGACGGCTTTTCTTAGAGCCTAGTCTCCACTGGTGTTGGACCAGATGACGCCAAAAGGCATACAACTCAAAAACAGCGCACTATCAGAGCATCGAGAGCTTGGGGTAAGCATTTACATTATGAGACCTCCTTTTCCAGCAGAAAGATATAGTAATAGGTTTTTACCCTTTTATGTAAATAACAAGTTGTATGTGGATGACTACATAGCGGTGGTTGGCACCCACTGCCCTAACCACGGGAAAGCATGTAATTACATTCATTTTTCTAAATACAGTATGTCCTTTTTAATAAGCTATTGCAGGGTACGCTTTTGTAGGTCAGATGGCATTGAATGCCGAGTAAGATCATAGGGGGAGTGGTGTGAGACTCGGTAATTGGTGGATATAAAGCGGAAGGGCTTGAGGCAGGACTTAAGGGAAAGCATTTTGCAATGCACGCTTACAAGGGCAGGACGTTCCAGATAAAGGGGCATATAAGGAGCGGCCTCCAAATGAGTGGTGGATGATTGAGTGATGCTTAAAACGCTAGTACATTATGTTCACAGGTCGAAACACATCAATAAAAAGTTGTATATGGCTTTTCTTGTGACAAAGTCGATGGGAAAGTGTGACAATACAGCTCGTTGGTTTTGTGTTGATGGCTCTATAGTGGTGGTTGGTGCTCAATGTCTAACACCAATAACATGTTCTAACTTACATCCCCTTTGTCAAAGCACTGCTGGTTGAAATTCTCACCACACAAAGTTAGTTTCATGGGTTGTGAACAAACCACTTTAGCTCATTTTTATAGTCATAACTGTTTTCATCGACCTATTAAAACAGCCAAGCCCATGTTGACTGAACTGATTATAACAGCGCCTCGCAGCTGTTTCTCTCCTCTGTTCCGACCATGATGGACTCGTCCGTCTGAACGGGGCTCGTAGCGGTCCGTGGTGCTGATGTGGAGGGTAAGAATCCACCCATTTTTTCGCCATATAGCATCGTGATATATAACGACTTATTGTTGGTAGCTCAGCTGATTGGAGAATATATAGAGTTTATTGATAACATTGAGGTAGTTTATATTTTAGTTTTTTTTATCTGGTTACTATATGGTATTCATTATATAGTGTAGTGTATAGCCAGTTGCTGTTAATAGCTCTGCTTATTGAAGAATATATTGAGTACATTTATTATATTGATGTAATTTAGACTTAGGTTTTTTCACATCAGTTTACTGTATGATAGTTGAATTGTTGCAGCCCCTTTGGCGTCCATGTACGAGGTGCCTCTGTGGATGTGTAGGCTTTGACTTTAACATAGCTATTTCTGTGACCAGTCACAAGCTAATCCCTCAACTGTTTCAATGCTAAATTCTCCTGTTTGATTTGTAAACCCCTTTGTCAAGGTGCCTCACTTCTCTCAACCAGCTTAAAAGACGCTGCGAATCTTAGCAGCGTTCATTGTAGCTCTGTCGTCCCGACAGGTTTGTTCCTTTCACCTGAAGGCCACTTGTGTTGTGGCCGAAACGTCGTGAGAATTTTATTGTTTTATTTTATTATTTTATTCTCATTCTACGTGACTTTACCGAAAGAACCAAAGAAGGTGGTAAAAAGAATCCAGGCACAATAATGGCAAATAGTTTCCTTGAGTAAAGTGAGGCCAATGTAAGTACCTGCTATCAGGAATACATGCCTGTAGATGGTGTTTCAGGTGTATACCATTTTCAGCATCAGGTATATTTTCACATTACATCTACATTTGTCCCTCAATTATGAGCTTGCTGAAGTAGTTTAAACCAAATCAACCATGCAAAACTAGCTTCATAAAATCAATGTAGAAGACTGGATGATGTTACAATGGCAAATTATTTAGTTTGTTGACATAATCCCACAGAGCATGTGGGACCTTAACCAAAGCCACACTCAACACTTGAGCGACCAAATAATTTCACGCACTGAAGGCTGCATGGGGGCATCAATGTACGTGTTGGGGTGCGATTTCTCGCATCAGGGTTCGTCATTTATATCATACAGTATTTTGTAGACGGTTTGGAGTCATTTATACTTTACATTTATCATCCTTGCCAACTGCAGAAAGCACAGTTTGCAACGCAGCTGATGCAGGCTCGCAATTGTGAGCACACAAGTTCAAATCCTGCCCATGGTTTACTCAGCCATTATTCCTCCGGGGTGTATAAAATTAGTATTATCTGCAAATAGTCCTTGGTGGTAATCCCATAACAGCGCGTTTGGCTATGTACGGTGTGAAAGACGTTCAACATAAATACATAAAGTGGTTGTCCTATGTGTGAAACTGCTCAATACATTATTAGCCCGAACTCAACATTTAACCCATTGAGTTCAAGAAGATTAACAAAGAATATGCAAAGTTCCAAATATTATTTCAGCATATACATGTTTTAATCGTAACATCATAGAAAAGGGTTTGTTTTGGATGTGTTTCATCAGTACATTGTCCAAGCCAGTAAACCGTGGACCGTGGGGGTTGCATATTATGACTGTATTGGCAACAGCCAGAGGAACGCGACATCGATACCACAAACAGCACAGTCTTATAAGATTTACCCAGAAAAGCATCACCAAGTCTCAGGACTAATTTTAATAAGGGTCCTGGCATTCGGATATTTGTCCATTTCTATTACTGGATGTTTGGCTTCATGTATGAGACCATTGCCACATACAGTATTTAAATTGTAGAAGTGCAACTACCATTTTACTTAGTCTCATATACATTTTGGTAATGTTAAGTTTAATCTAAGTTTGTTCAAATAAACAAAAATATGTGTAAAGCCCTTCAACTGTCTCGATAAAAAGCACGCCTCGCTTGCAAACGAGGCAATACTCTTTCACCTGCCTCAATGGGTTTATTTAATCTCCTAGCTAAAGTAGACCTTCTCCAACCTACTTCACAGCCCCCGTGCCTACAACACCTGGCAGTCACCAATCCACCCACAAACCAGGCTCACACCTTGATCCGCTGAGATAGGGGTGCAGCATTTGGAGGGCATTTATCTATGTGGGCCGAAAGTGCGCAGTATGCAGTCCAACTGCTCCAGTTACTTCCTCATTTTTGCTGTGAAGTGCTTTATCACAATACAGTAAAGGTTGAATATAAGCACATCTTATATAAACAACACATCGTTACATAATACGCTGGCGGTGGGGGGCAAATGTAACTTATGGTACAAGCACACACGACCTCGGATATGGCCTTACACTCCAGTGGGGTGTTCTCATAGCCAACTTCCACCGACTGTATTCCACTTGTGGTTTGAAATCCCAAACCTAAGAACCGAGTGAGTAACCAGCACACGGCCACGACTCGCACACTCGACGATTTTGAAGCATACGCAAACCTTGCGTTCTCCTCCCCGTGTATAAACCTACCTTTCACCGGGGTCACTGTTGCGAATGAGACTTGTCCTGGTTCTTCAGAGTTCTCTTACTCGCCTGGTGAAACAGAATAACCGTGAACCGCGCCGTACAACTGGATTTGCGTTACTGCCACGAACTTGCAAAGTCGACAGACTGCGCGGCCACTTCTATGGGTGTTGCCGACCTTGTACTGGCAATTCATTATTATTATTTTACAACGTCTGTAGGCTGTGCGGAACAAGGAAGTTCAGCTTGCGGTTTAGTTGCAAAACAAAAATACCAAAGCGTTTCGCTTACTACCGGACAGATGATCTTCTTCGTTATCAAGTCTCGCACATGCAACGCTGGTAACACACAAACACGCCGCGCGTGTAACATCATCTAGCCGCACGTTTTGTTCGTCGCAGTGGGCTACGTGCGGTGCGAAAGAAGTTCAACATACGTGGAACGTCGGCAGCAACGTTGACCCCGACGTTGGTTCAACCACACGCCAACAGTGGGGCCAATATTGGTGGAACTTGCTAACGTTGGTCTCAACAAACACGCCGACGTTGAGCCAACGTTGGGCCAATATTGGTGGAACTTGCTAACGTTGCTCTCAACAAACACGCCGACGTTGAGCCAACGTTGGGCCAATATTGGTGGAACTTGCTAACGTTGGTCTCAACAAACACGCCGACGTTGAGCCAACGTTGGTTCCACTACATGCCAACGTTGGCCAATATTGGTGGAACTTGCTAACGTTGGTCTCAACAAACACGCCGACGTTGAGCCAACGTTGGCTCCACCAAATGACGTTGGCCCAACGTACACGAAGCGACGTTTGGGGGGGGGAGGAGGGGGGGGCAATGTCCCTCCATCATACTGCCAATGGCGCAGTGCTGAATGGCCAAACAATGTTGTTGTATCCGGTGACATGCAAGAAGTTGAGTTCCCGTTACTGGCGAGTGCGGCTTTGGCGTTACACAACTGCGACCCGCATTGCAAACGAAACGGCAATTTGTCTAATGCGCACGCAAATCACCGTGGCCTCGCGTTGCTGCTGCTGCTGTTGTTGTTACGATACAATGCGTGTAAAGGAACACCGTGCTCACTTTAAAAAAAAACAAATAGTTATACGTTGACCAGAGCCATGACGAGGTTAGCCGTACAACAACAACAACAAACTCCCGAGTTCTGGCAGGAACAACCAGGAACAACCAGGGCCCCCTACCCCCCCATGTCGCCCAGCAAGAGACACGCCACAAGTCGCACGCCGTGTCGACGGCTTTAAACGACGTGGCCGCACTCCTCTCCGAAAGGAGACAACTCACGTTACACACCCGCAACAAACCTTTTATCTTACTCTTGTTCTTTCGGGGAAGGCTTGCTGTGCTTGCCTGCTGGGGTGCGCCGACGTCTCGCGGAGGGTGGTGGTGGTCAGAGAAAGTGAAACGTGCGGAAGGAAGAAATGGCTCCCCGGACAAACCAGTTGTTTGAGTTACGTTCTCCGCACTCTTAGACCCGATCTCTTCCTCCCGGGTCTCGCACACGGAAGCACGGCGAAGGGCTTCGTCTGCTGCGTGCTGACTGGCGGTTGTTAGTAAGCCCTGTTCGGGTTCGTCTCCGCCGTGCCGGTGCACTCATTGGTTGGGTGGATGTGGTGGTGTGTGTGTGTGTCTTTGTGTGTGTGTCACAGACTGTAACAAGTACAGGGGCATCTCACTCCTCAGTGTGCCGGGAAAGGTCCTGGCAAGGATTATTCAACATCGCCTTGCCAGACACGCTGAGGAGAGGCTTGCGGAGCCCCAATGCGGTTTCAGGAAAGGGCGGTCCTGCACAGATGCCATATGTTCTGTCCGTCTGCTACAGCAGAGGTGTAGGGAATTCCAGCAAGACCTACATCTCTGCTTTATTGACCTGGTCAAGGCCTATGATACCATCAATAGGCCTGGGCTCTGGGTTGTTCTTCGTGCTTTTGGAGTCCCTGACCCTCTGCTCACGATCATTAAGGACCTTCATGATGGTGAGCAGGCCCGGGTAAAACTACGTGGCCGGGAGTCAGAGCCTTTCCCTGTACACCTTGGGGTGCGACAGGGATGTCCTCTAGCTCCCACGTTATTTAACATCTATTTCGACCACGTAGTTCGTGAAGCCTTCAATAGCTGTACCGGGGGAATCTCCATATGGTACAGATATAATGGGAGGCTGATCGATGCCCGGGTGCGGTCAAGGGATGGCTCCCTATTGCTCAACCACGTTGTGTATGCTGATGATTTGGTAATAGCTGCTCATTCAGAGGAGGAGTTGGAGACGCTGCTGCTGAGACTGGAGCGTGCCACTAAGAGATGGGGCCTTACCATCAGCCCCTCCAAAACTAAGCACCTGCCTGGGTATTTTGTACCATCGGACACTCCACCCCCACAACTCCCAATCGGTGATGGGGCAATTGTGGAGAGAGTGGAGAGTTTCCCATACCTGGGAAGTGTGCTTATGACCGGCTCCAGTTTAACAGCAGAGGTCTCACTCCGAATCAGTCGAGCGGCAATATCTTTTCATCGGTTGCGTAATGCTGTGTGGAAGCTACCTGGTCTGTTGCTCCGCACTAAGCTTCAGGTCTTCTCGGCCACGGTCATTCTCTCCCTTCTCTACGCTTGCGAAACGTGGACCCCCCTAATAGAACATCTTCGCCGGTTAGAAACATTTAGGCTGGCCTGCCTACGATCCATCCTGGGTTTAACCAGACTGGATTGTGTGAGGAGCTCACAAATCCTTGAAAGATCTGGGCAAGGTCCCATCGGTGAGCTCCTCCGGCGGGCAAGGCTGCGATGGCTGGGTCATGTAGCCCGCATGCCCAGCCACCGCATGCCGAAACAGCTTCTGTTCGGCCGGATCGAGGGGGCTAAACGGGCGCGGTACGGGCTAGAGAAGAGATGGAGTGATGTGGTACAGGAGGACGTGGAGCTGAGTGGACTTGCCGATGACTGGTACCAGCGGTGTCAAGATCGGCCTCTGTGGAGGAGGCTCGTGAAGGACGCTATTGGGCAGTTGGCGGCAGTCGCCCTCCAACAACAACGGAGGGCGGAGGAGCGACGCTCACAACAACGACCGCAGCGCCGGGTGGCTAAAGGACAGCAGCTTGGCACAGTAGGGGGCACAGGTGGTGCATCAGCCAGTCATCTCAGTCAGTCGACCCGTGGCACCTGGGTCTGCCCTGTGACCTCCTGCCAGCGGGCATTCGACACTCCACGTGGCCTCAAGGTGCACATGTCCTGGCACAAGCGTCGTGGTGACGTCACCGCCACTTTGTGGCGAATGGCGGTTGTTGTTGTCTTTGTCTTTGTGTGTGGGGAGCGGTGCTGTAGCGGTTAGCGCGCTGCGCTGTGAACCTGGCGACCCGGGTTCGATTCCCACTCATGGCCAACACCAGTGACGATTATCTGAACCGGTCCCGGGCCTCTCCTAAGTCGACTCAGCCTCAAATGAGTACCTGGTGCGGTGTGTAGTAAACATTGCCACTCGGGAGACAAAGGTGGTCGGGCGTGGTGCTGGCCACTCACCCCCTCGTGTTCTGTGCTGGCTATTGCTGCTCGCTAACAGCACTTGCCCCTACAGTCTGTTAAGGCTATATGGGGGATCTTTGTTTTTTTGTGTGTGGTGAGGGCATTGGGGAAGTTACGCGCTCTGGGCTGCGAAAATGACGCTGCCGCGTGACACGGATCAAACGGAAGCAAGGATGAGCACCATCCAATCTTAGAGAGAGGGTCTTGACCTCGAGCCATTAAGGTACGCAGAGGGTCTTGACCTTGAGTCATATCTCACGGAGGTGGTCCATTGGCTCTTAACATCTGGAAGTTCACTGGCCAATGATTCAAGTGAGCAAGCCTGGCCCATATCTTGAAACAGAGGGTTCTGGCTTGGAACATCTGGCTTTTCACCGGTATTGATTCAAGCAAGCAAGCAAGCCTAATCCTGGCCCATATGTTAAAGAAACGGTCTTGCCATTAACATTTGGAAGTTTACCGCCATTCAATCAAGCAAGTTTGACCCTGACACATATCTTTAACATCTGGAAGTTTGACCCTGAACCGTATACCTTTAACATCTAGTAAGTTTAACCAGCACTGATTTGAGCAAGCCTGATCCTGACTCATATCTTAATCTAATCTAATTTTATAAAGCGCTATCACTCACCGGCATTGATTCAAGAAAGAAATCGTGTCTGCTGATGAGATTCTGTAAGTCAAAACCGGTCCAGAAACCATGCTGCTGAAATTTACTCCCAGAAAACCCGTGGAACCAAGAGGGAATACTTTTTTGGGAGAGATATGGAGACATTAGATGCGTATCTATTTTGTTAAATAAAATGGGACATACAAAAAAACATTTCGTTATATCAAACGCTGTTTTTGTTGAAAACATTGACGTACACTAAAAATATGGGAACTGAACATCGATGATCTTTCCATGTTTTCGGTGTTTTTTATTATTAACTGCTGGAAAGAGCGACGTAAACATTCTAAAGAAATGTTGCTTATCAGATAAAGTAATGAATTACATTTTCATTAAAAAAAATATCATACTGGCTGTTGCAATACCAACACGACAACCATCCATCATCGTTATAAACTTTGTTCTGTCAACTGCTGGATGAAGGTCACGCTCCTATCGATGTCAACGTCCACGTTAGCTCCTGCAGATGAGCTGATCTCATTGTCACTCCCTGGTGGACGGTGGTTGTCCTCTTGCGCGTGCCTTGTCCATTTTGGCTCTTGTTTCATCCCCAGTCTCGTCCATCTGCCGTCATTTCTACGAGATGATCCCTGCACACTTTCTGAATCAGTCAATAATGTCATTTGGAAATTGTTTCTGATGCATTGTGCGCGTTCCTCTGTTTCTCGTTTTAATTCCGAGAATACGTACAGCAGTGCTTATTTGCACACATTTCAGTTTCTGTTACATTTTATTTAATGTTTCGTTGTTCCTGTTTCCGATCCATCTATAATGTAATGACAAATGATATGAAATGATTGAAAACCGTATTAGATTACCTTGCTATGTTTTTCATGATTAAATTAAGTTTTCCCTAAAGCGGTACGCGCTACAATATATTATGTTTAAAAGATTATGCTAACTGCTGACCCTGATATTTAATGCCAGCCCTGATCATTTTACTTTCAGTTTCGTCGTTTAAGCCATAAGAAATAGTGAATCCACTGTTGGATGAAAGTCTCCCCAAGCTGTTTCCATCTCCCACAATGTAACAACCCAGCATCTGCACATGAACTTATTTAATCACTCCTTCTCCTCGACGGATGTCCTCCGAGATGCATTAGAATTACATTCCTTGGAATGCGTCTCAGAAGGCCATCATTCTTTCTTGCAATGTCTCCTGCCCAAGCTCACTTTTATGAAAAGTTAGCAAATAAGTAGGGCGAGGTGCATGAATGACATTTAATTTAATATTTAAGTTAAATACATTAAATACATAATTCACTCTGTAATATATACTGGATAATACAATATTCGTATTTTACAGCTGATGGATAATACATGTAATATTATACACAGCTTATTGTATTCGTGTGATCTGTAATGCGCACTGTTAAAAGTATGAGTTGATATATAACATGTCCTGCTGTTTGCACGGCCTTACTGTCGTTCCTGCTCAACGGAGCGCTTAACAATGCCATCACCAGTCACGTGAATGCAGAGACTAACATGAAACTGGTTTCCTCTTACAGGACAGTATGAAGAAAAACCTATGACTCGCAAGTTGAGAAGTTGTTTGACTTTGTCAAATACAGCACTCGTGTTTTTATAACTTTTCAGAGCAAAACTTGGAGGAAATAATCAGCTGAAAAAAATCACAATGCCGACCAGAAGCGGCTTTGAGGTATAATGGCATTAAGTGTTGGCCGGCATGATGAGCTCCTCCTAATAATTTTCTATTATGAAAAATAAAATAAAAGTATTTATTACACAACGCATTAGTCGAACAGCCTTCTGGTGATGCTTTACTTCAACATGATTAATTCAGCACAAACAAACTCTGAACTGGTTTCGACATAAGTTTATCATCAGCAGTTAGGATTTCTTGAATCATAGCTAGGCAACTGCTAGTTCTTAAAGAGAGGGTCCTTGCCTATAACATCTGGCACTTCACAATATTTGAATTGAGCAGGTATTCTAAAGAGCCACTGTATATCGTTAACTGGTCAAATGACTGCTTGTACTGAATGCTGCTGAAACTGTACACTCACAGAAGGACGTTGGCCAACAGGTAATCTGTGTTCAGGAATACAGTACTTTTATTCTGTTTATGTGGAGAGACAGAGGAATCGAGGCGGCGGCAATGGTGTGAATCCACTGTTTGCGATTTCCCCACACAATGACCCTCGTGATTATTCTGTGTGGATTCAATCATGTCCATGGTGGCGAGAGTAAAATGCAGTACGGTACATTCCTGTCGTCACCACACATGAAGAATTGTTCAAAATAAAAGTTTTCATGTAGCCATTCACACATTCTTTGTGGCATCACTGGAGGGGGGGGGGTGAATTATTGCAATTCAATTCACAAGCCAGCTCGTTTGCAGCTGCTAGGCGGATTGGACAGGTAAGAGATTGCGACGACTTGGGGAGGAACTAGATCCAGCAGTGCAGTGACTGGTGATGACGACTTGAACTGCACGTACATTTGTAATCACCAGAGGGCAGCACAGTGCTGCGGTACAGCACTGACGAAGCCCAATATGTCTATACGACATCTCGTCCAGTGGTTCTGAATCGGGAATGCGCGGACCCCCTGTGAGGTACGTGGCAATGTCCCCGGAGGTACGCGTGGTGATTTATAAATGGTACATTATATCATGCATGAGAGTCATTGGTGAATAATCAAGTATGAATCTGCGGATGTAAAATAACTGATACATTTGAAATCCATATGGTAACCATATGGTAACCTAGAAAGGTAAAAACAATATATGTAAAATATATTTATCAACTCATAGATCGTAAACAATGTGGTTTCCAAGAGTAACCAGCGAGCGTGAACCAATTACGCCGTGCATGCAGAGCGTCCGCTGAATTAGTTATTCGCTTGCCAGTTAGGAGACCACACAAAATGGACAATTTGTTCAAATATTGATGTTTATTATTCATACATTCATTTCTCAGAACAATGTTGGGTTAGGCAAGGTTTGGTACTCGTTCGTTCTTTTCTCAATCCGCTTGTCCTGGTGAGCAGCAGCGTGTTGAGTCGGACGGTCCAGACCTCCCTTCCCCTGGCCACACGACTACACCACGACTACACCACGACTACACCACACACCACGACTACACCACGACTACACCACACACCACGACTACACCACACACGACGACTACACCACACACCACGACTACACCACACACCACGACTACACCACGACTACACCATACACCACGACTACACCATACACCACGACTACACCACACACCACGACTACACCACGACTACACCACACACCACGACTACACCACTCACCACGACTACACCACACACCACGACTACACCACACACCACGACTACACCACACACCACGACTACACCACGACTACACCACGACTACACCACACACCACGACTACACCACGACTACACCACGACTACACCACGACTACACCACACACCACGACTACACCACGACTACACCACTCACCACGACTACACCACTCACCACGACTACACCACTCACCACGACTACACCACACACCACGACTACACCACACACCACGACTACACCACGACTACACCACACACCACGACTACACCACACACCACGACTACACCACGACTACACCACTCACCACGACTACACCACTCACCACGACTACACCACACACCACGACTACACCACACACCACGACTACACCACGACTACACCACACACCACGACTACACCACACACCACGACTACACCACTCACCACGACTACACCACTCACCACGACTACACCACACACCACGACTACACCACGACTACACCACACACCACGACTACACCACTCACCACGACTACACCACTCACCACGACTACACCACTCACCACGACTACACCACGACTACACCACACACCACGACTACACCACGACTACACCACACACCACGACTACACCACTCACCACGACTACACCACACACCACGACTACACCACGACTACACCACACACCACGACTACACCACACACCACGACTACACCACACACCACGACTACACCACGACTACACCACTCACCACGACTACACCACTCACCACGACTACACCACTCACCACGACTACACCACGACTACACCACACACCACGACTACACCACTCACCACGACTACACCACGACTACACCACACACCACGACTACACCACGACTACACCACACACCACGACTACACCACACACCACGACTACACCACACACCACGACTACACCACACACCACGACTACACCACGACTACACCACACACCACGACTACACCACTCACCACTCACCACGACTACACCACACACCACGACTACACCACGACTACACCACGACTACACCACACACCACGACTACACCACGACTACACCACGACTACACCACACACCACGACTACACCACGACTACACCACTCACCACGACTACACCACACACCACGACTACACCACTCACCACTCACCACGACTACACCACTCACCACGACTACACCACTCACCACACACCACGACTACACCACTCACCACGACTACACCACTCACCACGACTACACCACACACCACGACTACACCACGACTACACCACACACCACGACTACACCACACACCACGACTACACCACACACCACGACTACACCACTCACCACGACTACACCACTCACCACGACTACACCACTCACCACACACCACGACTACACCACTCACCACGACTACACCACACACCACGACTACACCACGACTACACCACACACCACGACTACACCACACACCACGACTACACCACACACCACGACTACACCACACACCACGACTACACCACACACCACGACTACACCACGACTACACCACACACCACGACTACACCACACACCACGACTACACCACACACCACGACTACACCACACACCACGACTACACCACGACTACACCACGACTACACCACTCACCACGACTACACCACACACCACAACTACACCACACACCACACACCACGACTACACCACAACTACACCACACACCACACACCACGACTACACCACACACCACGACTACACCACTCACCACGACTACACCACACACCACGACTAAACCACACACAGACTCCAGCTCTTCCTGGGGAATTCCCAGGCCAGCCGAGCGACATCGTCCCGCCAACGTGTCCTGGGACGGCCCCGGGGTCTCCGCCCCGGTGGGACATGCCCAGTAGAGTTCCAGGGGGAGTAGGGGTGGGGATGGGCATCCTTACCAGGTGCCCGAATCACCTCAACTGGCTCCTCTCGATCCGGAGGAGCAGCAGCGGCTCGGATCACGGAGAGTGGCGAGGCCCGGCAACCCCGCGGGACGAAGATCGTCGACCTCTAGACCGAGAGCTTTGTTCGAGAACTCTCAACCCCGCTTCAATACCACGGAACGTTACGGGGGCCGTCCATAAATGACGTCACGCACCTAGGGGGGGGGGGTGGGGGAGAGAAATGTGACGTCACATCAAAATGCGCAACTTTAAATAAATGTAGACAACACGTTCTACTTAATTAAATAGACTTTTTAATAAATGTTTTCTCCTACAACATCAGAGTGCAGCGCCACATTAAATACGCACTACAATGAAAATAGTTTAAAGCGATTTGAAGCATGTTTTATTTAAAAAAGGGAAATATGATTGGGGGGGGGGGGCAGAGCTTTTTGACGTCATATTTGAGGGGTGTCTTACAGTAGCCAAAAAAGATTGAGAGGCGCTGTGCTGTAGTCAGTACATTGCGTTCTTAACGCATCGTTTTAATCCCTAACGTGTTGCCCACAAAGTCGCTCGGTTTTCAGCTCGTTAGACAACACTTACCTGTTGATGTAGTGTCGTATTTACGCGGTATAAACTCAATTATACGTAATCTCGTATAATTGTAGTAAATGCCTACGCCTATGAGCAAAGGTTTCAAACAACACACAACATTTGTAAATAGCACATTGTTTGTGATATCAGTTTCGTCACTATGAAAATACATTTCCATTCGGAACTCCCAGTTAGCCACATAATTTATGTCGAAGCCACTCTGTGTGCGTCGTATAAATAAACCATAAAAATATATTCAGAAATAGAATCAATAATTAACACGCATTACATTTTATATGTAGGCATTGGTGACCTGGCTCCGGCCATACAACTCTCCACAATTCCGACACCAGATTGAATTAAACACCGGCGGTCGATGGGTGATATTGGTGCAATGGATAACGGATCCCAGTCGAGAGTCTCATAAGTTGATGGCAATTGAGGACGAATACTTAAAGTTAGGGCTACACATCTCTTCACGGGTCAACATTACGATTCAGAGTATGGGTGCTGGGCCAGCAGCGCCGAACCCGGCCATGAATGACCAGATGGTCGTAAGCGTTTAGCAGCTCATTTATCTTGGTAACCTGCAAGACTCGCTCAGCGGCTCTCGAGCAGAAAGCAAGCGTCGGCATCGGAATGGCAGCGAGCTGCATTAAGAATGGCCTTTCATGTGTCTCATGCCAAATGCATCGCTGCCTTCAGATAGAATTGCGGCTGTACGTGTGATCGATATTGTCGGTGCCGATTCATGCATCTGAGACATGGACATTAACTCAGTGCGACTTTGACCACCTACAATCATTCCACATGCGCCGCAAATTCTAGGCGTAAAGTGGTTTTGAAAGAATAAGGAATTCTGAGTTTGCTCGTTGGCACTCAGACTCAGGCGAAAACATTTGTGGAGGGAGCAGGTGGAGCGGTCACAGACTCCAGTATTCAGTTTTCTACTCATCTAAAGAGCTTTGGCACAATACTCGAAGAGAATGTCTTTTGATCACCACTTGCAAAATATAGTCAGGTATTGCAATTTTAATTTTCGGCTCTACGACACATTTGCAACATAGCCAACACGGTGGCGTGTATAGCATAGTATCGACACAGCTCGAATATTGCAACTCACTATTCTACTGGACGTCTGGCAAAAACATTACAAAGCTACAGGGTGTACTAAATTATTTGGCACGTGTCATGAAGGGTACCGCAAGATCCGACCATGTCCTTCCAGTGTTCGCCAAGCTGCATTGGCTTCCAGTTTCTGAACAAATACATTATAAGGCGGCACTCAATACACACAAAGGGCTTGTGACAAATTAAGAAAATACCTTGCTGGTCTCGTAAAGGAGCATAAATCGTAACGCGAACTCTGGTCATCCTCGCAACAGCGGCTTTTGGCTAGCCCTCAAACAAAGACGGTGGTCACTGCATCGTGCACTTTCTGCAGCCGTCCGTAAAGCTCTTCCGTCAATATTAGGAAGCCACTGGAGCTATGCAATTTTAAATCTAGATTGAAAACTCGTTTCTTTAGAACTGCTTTTTTGGTGTCTAGTTTGTTGTCCGTTTTGGTCGCCCACGTAACACCTGGCTGACTGCGCCAGGACAAGCAGGGCAATAGGATCTCTCCTGATCGCCAGGGCATGGACTCGTTCCTCCAATCGGCGATTGTGCAAGGCGGCGACGGCCTCGAAAGACTACGAGGTTTCGTGAGTGAGGTTGCTAAAATCCACGTTCGAAGGTTTACACTCAGCGTTTAGGTCATGTTGGCTTGAAGTCTCTAACATGGATATTATTAGTCACCGAAGTCAAGCGATCACCTTCAACACGCTACTTTGGATGCAGACACTACCCATATAGAATCCACACTCTTATGTCGAAGCCGCTCCAGAGTTTGCTGGCACTTATTCAAGGCTGCAGAAATTAGGTATTTCCAGAAGGCCGTACTGCCGACTGGTTATGTAAGATATGTTTTATATTTTTACGTGGAGAAACATATAAAAAGGAGACATAACCATTTTGCTCCATCGAGAATCCATTCGTCATTTATCTAAAACTGTAAAACTCTGCATTTGTGTGTAGCGACTCAAAACCAAGGTACAGCTTTGCAATGACCGACTCACGCCACTGTTGGCAGAATTACCTCAATGATAGGGAGCTGTAGAGAACCTCTGTAGACGGACTTTGGCCTACTCCTCCACATATCCTGGATAGGTGGGAATACTCACACGCGACGTGCCGATCCACGAACTGTTGTGTACCCATTTATACTACTAGATGGACGAGCCGGAAGGGATTCAATAAACGTACAGACTGATTTAACTGCCGCGCCAGGAGATCGCACAAGCGGCGACCTCTCAATTGTAAGTCCAATGTTGGCCCTTGCCGATTATCGGTGACAGTATCCCGTGCAGTGAGTGACTAACGTCGCATATACGTAGGATTGGCACAGCTTTTGCTTACAATTTTTTACACGAATTTGATCAGTGGCTCAACCAACGTGCTATCTAAGACATGAAATGTCATCGACGTGCAGCACTCCCTATTATATTACCGTATTGACATATCCAATTGTTTCCAGCGCAATGATAATGTATAAAGGACTTGCCAATTATCTCGGCAGAGGGCGCGACTAGCCAGTATTATTTTATCATGAGCAGCTGACATCACTTCTGCGTCCCCATAAACGCAATTACAGATACGGCCGTTAAGATGCCGCATTAGAATGCAAAATAGATTTCTTTATTCCAGTACAATCTATATCGCACGATGTTCTATGTATATATTCGACTAACAATCGACGCGTACAAAATGACTTTTAGATTAAACGTTCCGACTGCACATTTACTCCAGTTTTATAAAGGTTGTTTTCGTAGAATATTGTCTATTTAATAAACTTAAATTGAATAAAAAAAAAGAGCTAACCCATTTATAAATACCCCACTCATCTATAATGGCCCTCTTACTTTGTTCTCAACAGGTGATTGAGTTGGCTTCGTATCTTTCGAGGATGTTAAAATATTTTAAAACGCATGTTGAGCTTGGTGGGACACGTGGAGAGACTTTGAAATACAAGTTTTCTCTATAATGTATCCCTATTATTTTAGATGGATATACATATGTAGAAATGCTTAACCGTATACTATGGCAGATTCAATTGAGTATTTTTAGAGATATAGCGTCGTATTTGATAATCTATATTTATAATCTTAGTTCTCTCGGTAAAGTCACGTTGAAGGGAAACAATAAAATAATAAAATATATATAAAACAATAAAAATTCTCACGACGTTTCGACCATAACATGACGACCGTTTGTGTTATGGTCGAAACGTCGTGATAATTTTTATTGATTTATATATATTTTATTATTTTATTGTTTCCCTTCAACGTGACTTTACCGAAAGAACTAAGAATATGAATTACTGCAGTCACGAAAGCTTTAAATCAAAATCTATATTTAACTAAAATTTTCTTTATTTTTTTCTATATTGGATTATGATTTTCGAGCAATTATTTATTTGTATTGTCTGTTATTGTTTATTATTGATTGATTTTGTACTGTGACTTGTCGATAAGCGGTATTGTTTTTGTTGATGAAGTCCGATTTCAGAGCTTCTTGGCTCACAGGGTACTTCAAAATAAACCAAACTGTATACGAAGATTATATATATAAAAAAAAACATTCCTACCGTGTCCTATCAAGGTAGAACAAACAAATTATGTGGGTGGTAATGCGTAATATTGACATGCAGTAATTGCACACATTATCATAATTTGAATATGATCGTTGAAACACGCGAATTATGTTTGTGAGCTCTAATCGACTTAGTTTTGAAATGTATTGATAGTCATAGAGGCTAAAGTTATGATGCAGTACTTTCTAATTTCAGTGGACTCGGAGGAGGGATTATCGCCGTAAGATACTTTCCATATTTTCCCAAGCACACACACACCTCCACAAAGACAAATATCTCCTGTATAACCTTAACAGACTCTAGGGACAAGTTCTGTCAGCATCCCACTCCACAGCACCACGTCCGGCCACCTTTCTCACACGTGACGATGTTTAAACCCACCGCACCAGATACTGTGCTTATTCGAAGCTGTAGCCAACGTAGGGGAGCACCACGGCCGGTTCGGATAATTCGTCACTGGTATTGGTGGCCGTGAGCGGATTCGCAGCGCAACGCGCTCACCAGTATGCTACCGGCTCCGCACAGGGCCACCACACACACAGACCATCACAGACACCATGGCAGCAGCAGCAGCATCATCATGAGGACAATACAAATCATGGGGGCGAGCCACAATAACCACCGGGCCGCTGTTACGGTAACTATTTCGGGACTGAGACGTGATATCCCATTGAAATGCAGAAATCAAAGCATGAATCAAGCGTCCACCGACAGGCTGCACTCACACAGGTGTGCATTACAAGTCCAGGTACACCACCCCGCTTAGTGCGACGCGCGCTTTTGATAACGACAGAAGCTACGCCGGGCTCTCTATTCCGTGTTCAGCGAATGCAAACCTCACCAGCGGCATTACACAGCAACAACTGCCGTCGACAATGCACGCCGATTGGAGCGACTGCGAGGTAGTGTGTGACCGACGTCAAAGAGGAGAGAGAGAGAGAGGGGCTGGGGGAGCAAAATCACAGGTGGCGATTAATATTCATTGCGCGTAGGCGCCTCGTGAATATTAAGCGCGTTGTGACGAGCGTGGTGGCGAGCGTCTCTGTAAGAGCGCTCGGGCATCCGCAAGTGCACGGCAGTCTCCTTCACTCGCAACCAGCCGTCATTGGGAGTACATCCCCCCCACCACCACCACCGCCGGCTCTCTCTCTCTCTCTCTGCCCTTTATCTCTCTACACCCCCGGCTCTCTCTCTCTCTCTCTGCAACTCCCTCCTCGCTTGCTCTTTGCTCCTCGCTTGGCGGCTTCTGCTGCTGCTGCTGCTCGACTGCTGACATGGCCGGGGCTCGTGCGGGTGTGCACGCCCTACAGCTCAAGCAGATCGGCGTTCCAGACGCCCTCAAGAAAGGAAACAAGTTTATAAAGTGGGACGACGTGAGTAGCATTAGCAACCCACCCTGCCCCCCCCCCCCTCTCCACCCTGCCCCCCCCCCCCTCTCCACCCTACTTGTGCGTTCTGCTGGCCGTCGCTGTCCGCGACCTGAGAGAGCGAGCGAGCGAGAGATGTTGATGATGATCAATATCCCACGCCGTGGTGGCTGTGTGCGTGGTTGTCTGGTGGGCTGTGTTGCGCGCTTCCGTGCGCTGCTTGTTGAACTAACGCTGCCGCAGCCACACGGCCAGCACGCAGCCAGAGAGGCGTGCGTGTGTGTGTGTTGGTTATTCTTGCGCTCGGGTTGGCTTTGTTAAAACAACAACACAACATTCCAAGACGAACCTTGCCGTCAGCTGAATTTGACACCGGTTTTTTTTTTTGGGGGGGCGCTCTGCTTGTGCCGGTAGTTTGTTAGTTAGTTGTTGTTGTTTTTTTTGCCCGGCGCGACAAGTGTTTGTCAACAAGATACACACGGCAGTCAGTCCGTCCCCCCGCCGAAACGAGGCGATCTTTTACTGCGCGTCTGTGTGTGGCCGACCTTCATAGGTGCTCGCTAACGGCACTTGCCCCAAAAGTGCGTTAAGGCTATACAGGGGATCTTTGTCTTTGTGGTTAGGTCCCCCGTGTAGCCTTTAGTGATCCGGGGGGGGGGGCGCCTTTGTCTATGTAGAAACACAAAGACAAAGGTCCCTTTTACAGACTGTTGGGGACAAGTGCCCTGAGCGATCACCTTTCATGAATGCCGGCACGGCACACAAGGGGTGTGGGTGACCAGCGCCACGCCCGCGCGCCTTTGTCTCCCCAGTGCTGATGTTTACCCACCGGCCTAGGTACTCATTTGAGGCTGAGTTGACCTAGGGGAGGCTCGGTATTAGTTCAGATAATCGTCACTTGGTGTTGGCCGTGAGCGGTCACACAGACACTGAGGCGCGCGTGTGCAAGCGGTAGTTTAGTGCTGAGCGCACTGCGCAACGCACCCGCATCATGACCAATAATATCAGTCGCGATTGTCTGAACCGCTCCTGGGCCTCCCCTAGGTCGACTCGGCGTTAAATGAGTTCCTGATACGTCGGGGGGGGGGGGGGGGGGACAAAGGCGGGTCCTGGCATGGTGTTGGCCATCCCACCTCCTCGTGTTGGCCATCCCACCTCCTCGTGTTGGCCATCCCACCTCCTCGTGTTGGCCATCCCACCTCCTCGTGTTGGCCATCCCACCTCCTCGTGTTGGCCATCCCACCTCCTCGTGTTGGCCATCCCACCTCCTCGTGTTGGCCATCCCACCTCCTCGTGTTGGCCATCCCACCTCCTCGTGTTGGCCATCCCACCTCCTCGTGTTGGCCGTGCCGGCCGGGCTTCATAAGGTGGTCGCGAACTGCACTTGCTCCATCAGCCTGCTATAAAGGCTCCGTGGTGGATCTCGTTTTGTTGAGTTTTATTGTTTGTTTGTGGTCATGGACGTGAACGGCACGCGGTCGATGTGTGCCTTTGCTCACCGTCATTCATTCTAACTGAATACAGCGACAATAAATCCATAGCCGCGATTGCATTACACTAGACCGCAGCACGCACCGCGGCGGACATAAAGGGTTGCACCACTTAATGACCGTGCCCGCCTCTGTCTCTCGAGTCCTCTGTATTTGGTACACTTCAATCGCAGTATACGCGCACGGTGGTGTACTACTGCACTGACTACTCGCCCCCCGCCCCCCTTTGCCCTGTCTGTCTTGGCACTACCAGGCATTTGCTGCTATTCTTGTTCAAGTGTTGAACACAGTACGCCGGGCTACTGTGGACGCCAATAGAGGCTATGAATAGGCCAATAAGCATTGTGCGCAACAGCTATGCCTTCAACCCAGCAGTGGATGGAAACTGGCCGATGGTGATGGACAGACGTGATGAGTGCAGACGGCGTGCCCCTTCACGAATAAATCGTTACCAGGGCACGCGCCGCGCACGTATCACGAGCTCACGGAGGTATACATTGCTGATCAAATGTGAACCTGCCTTACTTAAGCGGAGATATCCATCTCTGCTCTAAACAAGAAGGCGATTATCCAAAACGTCGCCTATTTTACGTAGACGTAGCTCTTTATGGCAGTGCCATTGACGAACGCGTTGCATTGTTTATTGTTCGTGCTTATGAACCACTTGCCAACGCATTCTCACTGCACGCATTTCGAGCCAATTGTTGCCTCGAAACTTGTGACTGCTGATTGTGCGTCGATCAACGTGCTCAGTAGTGGTGTTAAGAGACCCTTTTCAGGGAAAGCATGGCTTCATCAAACGCTTCGCATGACTAGGGGTGGCATAGCCAAAGAAGCAGCTATTCTGGTTTCGCAGCCCGTTTCTCAAGTGCTGTTGTTGTGCTGCCAGTGTCATCCTTCCCTTCATCCTTCTTCCCAGCAGCGGCCAGATAAATGCCTGCCGCCGCGCTCTGTGCAAGTGAACACTGCCAGAATATGTGAAACCTCTATACAGTATTTATATACTGTGCTGTACATACAGGGCTTAATTTCTCGATCTCTACCCCCCCCCCCCTCCCTCCCCATGCCTAACCTCCCGAAGCCCACGCCAGGAGGGCGGGAGTATTTTCCAGAAATTAGTCCCGGACAGCTCCAGCTGAAATGAAACCCTGTGTGCATAGGCATATATACTGCATATATACTGTATATGCAGACATTTCCATCGCATGTAACCATTTGATGTTTCAGAAATTGAGATGCGTGGTCGTTGTCCTCGCAGGATTGTGTGGAGTGTGAGCTGCAGGGCATCAATGACATGGGTCGGGGAAGGGTTGATGATTTGTAATATCCCGCGACGGCCAACACTTGGCACGTGACGTCACAAAGCGCTGAAAAAAAACTTCCGGCGAATTTGTGAATGCCGACTTTAAACGTAAAGAATGCCTCGACATCGTGCAAGGATGTCGTGCGCACACTGCCATCCTGAGACTGCATTTCTTGGTGCAAACTGCCCAGCACAGATGTATCCAGAAAACATTTTACGTACTACCTTTCTACCCCAACAGATGGATTACCAAAGCACATGATCTCAACGCGATCCACCAACCCTGCCTCTCTGTTGTTGTTTTTATAGGCACGCGTCACCACACCCGCTCATTTCCTTTGCACCGATGATGAATTTAATGAGAAACACGCCCTTCATTATAGTACGTGAATCATCAACTGTCATTATCATCAACCATGGTTAATCCACTGCTGGATGAAGGCCTCCCAAGCCAACGCCATCTCTCCCAATCCCGTGATGTAATCATCCACCTAGCACTAGTGCACAAAAGCTAATTTCTATACTCCATCTCTTTGCGGGACGTCTCCCGTCTCGAAGACATTTCATCCTTTGGCTGCCACTTCGTCATGATTCTTGGCCATTAATTATATATATTTTTCTGAAATGTTCCCCGACTAGTTTTCGAGGTGAGTTTTACATAGACAATAAGGTATTGCAATATCAATATGCAGCACCATGCTTGAGGCTTGCTTATGCATTGCTACTCTAATACTCGGCACTCGATGTTTTGAATAAAATACAATTTAAAGTGAGTTATTTTTGCAGACATACAATCTAGTTATCATTTGTAACATCTTGTAATCTGTGGATCTATGTCTGAATAATATCTACACCATTTTCTTCTGTCACCGTATTTTTAACTATGTCAAGGGCCCTGAGTGAAGGTGCTCTATAAATATAAAATAAGATAAGATATATGTAATGGATGTAGACAATTGTCATAAGAAAGAGCGTGAATGCATTATAATAGATGAGATGGCATTGATAAAGTAAGTACTATTAAAATTAAATAGTTGAGTCAGTAACATTGTTTAATTAATTCAGGTACAACATTGATGCATATGATGATACTGATACATACACCATCGCATTAAAATCCTATAAACGGAATGTGACTCATTGTAAGTCAACTAAACTAGCATTAAAATAAATAATTTCCGTGCCATTCTCCATCCGCCATGATTGAAGGCCTTCATATAAGGGGTTTTTTGACCATATTTCATCACAATGGTCAGTATTGGTTGGTGAAGGGGAGGGGAGAGGCAAGAACGGCTCTGATATCACTCGCCACTGATGTTAGCCGTGGCCGGGATTAAAACTTGGGTCGCCAGGTTCATCGACAGCGTGCAAACTACCACAACCTCCACTTCACCTCAACCCAGCAGTAAGTTACTGCTAATATTTAAAAAAGCAGAAATCTCATTGCCGCTTACTTTAATAAGTTAGAATTATCATGTTAGACTAAGTTGATTACATCCCCAAAGGACAACAGCAAAATGTCCCATTCCCTGAATATCTGAGACAAATACGAACGTGATTTGTTTGTGTTGTTGCCATGACTTTCTTTGTTTTGTAGTATTTAATTAAAAAGGCAATGTTTTGTCATCCGCGATTGCTAGGACGTGAATGTATACTACTGTGACTGTTGTTTTTGAAGGGAACACGAATATATCACACACACACACACGACATTTTTCTCACAACTACAAATAAATGAGAATAAGATTCAGCGCATGATCCTTGACTTTTTACCATGGTTGAAGGGCACTTTGACGTTTTGGAAAGCCAAAAATAATCGGGTGAGAGAGTATGGCTAACGTGATGGCTTTTCATCTGGAAATTGAGTGAAGCACATTCTACACTTTCACATTAAAAAAATATACTTTAAAGGTTTAGTTGATTATATCCCGTGCTGCAATAGTTAATACAACTGGCCTTGCAATCCAGAGGTCGCCGGTTTGTTCATCTGGCGCGGCAGTTGAAGTTATGTCCACCCAACGGTATAAATGGTGCACCACAATTAATCGATCAGCAGATCGCGTGTGATAGGATAGAGCGCCATCACTCTGACCTCTTCCAAGACATCTGGGCAGCAGGGAAGAGCAGGCTAAAATATCCTAAAGGAACTGTTTAGAGCCCCCTCTAGTGGAGGCCTTCTGCTAGCAGTGATGTGAGCAGGTTGTTCTTGGGCTGAACCTTTACCTACAGCACGTTATATTTTCATGATTATTAAATGAGGCAGTTTTTGTGACGATTCATTCTCCCCTCCCCCACCCCTGGTGATCTGAAGAATCGTAGTGCTTCAGGATCACAATTTAATTTCATACACTTATTTTTTTATTGTGGTGAATATAGCGGCCACTAGTCATGTGAACCAATTTCTTACAACGTATACGAATTAAATACCTGCAGCATCAATAATTCCACCCGCACACTTGGAAGCATGTATAGCAAAGCTTAGTCGCTAATATTAATTGATAAATCAATGCAACATTTTCCGAATGATCTGCTATGCATGCATAACATAAACTCTTTCATTCAATAATCGACAAACGGTCACCATAATAATTTATCCAAACTAACAATTACAAGTAAAAAACAGACTACATGATTTGCAGTGAGTTAACATTTAAAGAATGCATAATGTAACAAGCGCTAGTGTGCTCACCATTTACTTTATCGGTTCAGCAGAGCATGCTCCAAATACATTGTAGCCACACAAAGAAAGCTTATCAACTACGGTAACATTATTATCGACGTCGGTTTTCATGGAAACGAAACACAGGTCAAAGACAAGTTGATTTATTTTGCAAATGAGCATTGAAGCAGTGGAAATTCCACGTTATGTTTGGGGGGGAGTCTTCTATTGGACAACCACTGTTGACTTCCCCACAAAGTGGCACTAATTGTATCAACCTCGGATGGATGATTGGCCAGGTCAACAATCGACCAGGATTTCAAACTGCTCGCTCTAACGCTTTAGGAAACGCAACAGCGCGATTGAATAATAAAAAGTGTGTGTGTAATGCATATAAAATATGTATTATAGTGCATATATAGGCTGGAGGGAGCAGTCCGTCAGGTTTAATCATGGGGGATGCATAAAGCTTGTGATGTTGGCTTCAGGGTTCAATTGCCTGACCTCGGATGCATTGTGGCTGTTTCACCTGATGTTGTCACAAGACTTTGAGCTTGCCAAAACAAAAAAATAGCTTCACTCAGCCCTTTTTATATATTGGCGTCATACATTACCTACACATTAGGTCTGTAAAGCAGCATTTACGAGCATGGCATTCTTAATCACAACATCAATTGATGTAAAAGCATAAACAATAAATTATGTGTTATCACAATCAGCCATGATCAATCTACTTCTGGATGAAGCCCTCCCAATGCTGCAGTCGTCTCTCACGATCCTCCAATTAACATCTCAAAATCATTTATATTCTTTGGGTCTTTCGGTAAAGCCACGTGGATAGAAAAAAATAAAAAGAATCACAATATCACGACGTTTCGATCGCAACACAAGCAATCGTCATCACCTGATGATGATTGCTTCTATCTACGTGGCTTTACCGAAAGGCCCAAAGAATATAAATTAAAGAATATGAATTCCTGCAGCCACGAAAGCTTTAAGTCAAGCTTTATCTCGTAAGAATATTCAAATGAAGCCGTTGCACAGTTTTCATATGTATGGAAAATTGGACTTGTGTGAGGCGAATTCACTATTTTAGTACGTATTTGCAAAATTCACTATACAGTATACCACTTTAAGCCTAGTTGCCTTACCTGTTATAGCGATGTTGGATTTATTCAAGTAATTGCTGTAATGTGAAAGTATTCAAATAACTTGCAATTGCCAGCAATCCATGCAATGAGCCAGCCCCACTCTGCTCCCTTCCATAGCTTCATCACCTGTGACCCTCGCCTCTCCATAGCCTTGTTGGCTGGAACTTTTTGTTACGTAAATTATACAATTTATTATAATCTCTATACTGTCTTTATAGACATACAAACAAACAAAAAAATCCCCAAATATGTGTTTTATGCCACGTTATCGCACATTGTTCTGGAAAATGTAATAAATATGTCAATATCATCGCCGCTAAACACAAAATCACGAACTGATTATGATCACTCAAAATGCACCTGACCTCGCCAGACCTCGGATGCAAAGTAGATTGAGGCTCGTGAGCGCTTCGATGGGTATCCACCGGGGCTTGCAGGGGTATTGTAGGCATGGTCAGGGTATGGCAGTATTGAGTTTCACGTTTTGTATGCATGGGTTTACTCCGGGTTCTCCGGTTCCCTCCCACATTAAACAAAACACTTATTAATGGTTTTCGCCCAAACATTGCTTTGCAGGATCCTCCTCAAAACGTATTGAGACTCAATCAGGCTTTCTTTGGCTAAATAATTAACATATCCGTATGTGTGCTTACCCATTTCCTTTTTTGCCCACTCACTTTTCTTTTTTTGCTGCTGTACCCGACACCTGCATCTGCAATAGTCTCTCTCAGTATCCAAACCTTAATATTACATTCTGGTGGTGAAAAAAACTTTTGTTGATAGTTGCTGGGAAAAAAAAATGGGTGAGGAATTCAATGAAATGTTTGCTTTATTATTATCATCATCATCGTCATACAGTTTGGGATGAGAGAAGTTTAGATCGTGTTTAGGGGCTTTCTAACTCACTCGCCCGTCTTGTGCCCTTTCACTTCTGTTCCACAGGATTCGACTGCAGGTGTGCCTGTCACACTCAGAGTGGACCCGAATGGCCATTTCCTATACTGGTTGGACCAGAACAAGGTAGGAGGGTGTGACAGTGGTGTGAATGATACCTCTAGATGTGTGACATGGTAACCCTTTTTGTTTGGTTTACTAACCACCACAGCAGATTATCACAAAACACACGTGCTATACGAATGTCAATATGCACATTCAAATAAGGCAATTTCCATACATTACCATTGCTGAGAAAATCACGTGACTAATAAAAGTTATCCGAGCGGAAAAGTGAAGCTATTTACAATCTGTGCAGATGTTTTTTTTTTAGAAACAAGCCAATTATGGCATTGAAAGTACAAACTGGGATGCATGTTTTTTTACTGCAGTTATAAAACATCATCTGCAGTAAATATGTTCTGCTGATAAAAATCTCGCACCTCCCAGTGCAACATACAACTGTATGTACTTTGACCCCATTCGCGCATTGCAAGTGATGCTTTATAATAGTTTAAAAGGGCAATTGGAGGCACTGGTGTACGATTAGTGTATGAATGGTTCGGTTCATAATTGGATCTCATCTGAACTAAATCGAAAAAAATATCAGATTGGAATTGGAATAAACTTAGACAAGTATTTGATTGTGACATGTTTCAGATCATTAATCTGATTACAGTTAGCTTAAAGAATGTTTATCAGATCTGATCAGTGCAGAGTTGTATTTAAGTTAAAATTGACAAGTGAGTTCCATCAGAATGAAGTCACGGAAATATATACTAAGCTATGTTGGACACCTCGCTCCTTATACAGTATATATAAAATGATTCAACACATTCGTCAATAGCATTGCCTTAAAATAAATAAATATCGGCCACATGTCAAGCATATTGCACGTGATTATATTATTTCATATTTTTACGTGGTATTTTTGTATTGCACAATTGGTTTGATTTTAAAACTTTTAGAAATAATTGTTTTGTCTCACCATCAAGACGGGCCATTGCCAGAAACATTGCTGATTTTCTCTATATTTTAAGGCCACATGGTGTTATTGACGAATGTGTTGAGTTGTTGTTGATTGTGCTTGTGCACCACTGCCAATAAAGCATCACCACATTATTTGTATATATATAATGTATTGCTATAAAAAACAGTCGTTGGTTGTGTAAAGTTGCACGTTAGTGGGATGAGTGTTGGGAATCATCACATGTTCTCCGTTTTGCAAATGGGAGTGGTTTATGGCAATTTCCAATTTGGCATTGACATTACTCGTGCAGAAAATAGCTACTGTTTAATGGCAAACAAGGTTAAGGCAATTCTCTCCATGTTGGGATAGTCACCTGTCATGTGAAGGTAATGTATATGCTGCACATCTTTTGTACGCAATATTAAATGTCTGGAGATAAAATTATATGGGGGAATATTAATGTAACCCATTTAACGTGTCAAGCGAAATGTGGATAATGCATATATTTCTGTCTGTTTAAATGAAATGGAGGAAGGTCATGGCAGTTATGACTTCCCACTCAAATAACGTTGTATATTCTTTCACCTGACAATGTATTGATAAAGGGCTGAACATTACTTTTATTACTATACTTATATGGCATACAGTGTAATGAAATGGAAATGATTATCATAATTTATAATGTCAGCAATGATAAATATTGTCATGTATTTCAGCAATACCAAGTATCACAGACCTTACCCGCTCAAATTATAAAACAATGTATTCCACCATCTTTTCCCACATTATCGTAAAATAAGATAAGTCATAAAAAAATAATGAGCACCATTGAAAGGTACAATTATATAAAATGACCCTTGAACATCATGATTTTCATTGGGGAAATAATATTGCCATGATTCCTATCAAGACAGCATTAGGCCAATCTACGAAAATATACATCTATTATATTTATTTGTAATTATTGTCTTTTTATAAAAATGTACATGTTTTTGGTATTTGAATATTTGTTGTACTTACGTTTGCGTTTTAAAAATATGTTCTGTACATTACAAATCGTGTAGTTTGTAGATTTAGACGTTCTGGACACTTTACCTTCATTGGTATGGTATTAGAAAATAAAATTAACTTGTATGATCAATTATAACAGGGCCATTGATCCATCTGCTTATTTATTATTATTTTGCAATTGAATCTATCAACCTGGGAAGGAGCAGTGGCCTGGTAGTTAGCACACTATGCGCTGCACTCGAGTTAATTGCCCAGCCACGGCTAACATCACACAGTTTCGGTGATTGTTTTATTTGAAGAGTAATTGTTATCTCTAAAAGCAATGTAAATGACACTATTTACGTGGATAGAAGGGAAAATATACAATATGCAACGCTTCAGGCAATGGTTCTTCTTCATAGCGCATGTGCTATGAAGATTGTGAGGTTTTTTATGATTTATATTTGGCATAAAATTGAAATTGAAACATTTTGGATTTAACATTTTTAAGGACCATTGCAGATATAATGAGGATTTTGGATCGTATACATTATGTAATAATGTAACGCGTCTTCACGCTAACACTGGTGACGTCACCCCATTCCATGTGACACTAATTTGACAGGAACAACACAGATGTGATGTAATATGTGGCGTCATTCCCTGTGATGTCATACATTCCGATGAAATCAAAACAAATATATGTTTTATCATGCAACATTTTTGGATCTAGGCCAGATTTTCTGATATTTTTTTGGATTCATCTGAAAATCAGGAACATTCGTAGTACTACCTAAACATTGGCAGTGGTGCACAATCGTATATAACTAATACATACCGTTATTTTTTTGCAAACCTCCGTTTAAAGAAATATATCCAGAGTGCCTCAAAAATTACATTTCTAAAACAGCATCTTGTATGATTCTCTGTGAACAAATTAGAAAACCCAGACTATCCCCTGAGGTTTTATTTTAACAGACAATTGTTGCCAGGGGCCAGTTCTGGGTTGTAAGGCTGAGATGTTTTAACCCCACAGTCAAAGATTTGCAGCCTGTAAACCGTGAGCAATGTGAATGGAAGCATTGTCATGCAAGATAAAAAAATAAAACCACCCATCAACATTGTTTGCATTTTTTTATTGTCCACATTGTACATCAGTTTGTACAGTATACACACATGGTGCATGTGTGCATCTGTACGCTAAAGATTAATGTGACGACGGCACACTCTTAATTTGCTTCCTGTAGTGTCAATAGTGAGCCGGGGGTAAAAAGTTTAAGGAAAGGTTCAGTCCCGGAAATTACTTGCTCATGCTACTGCTGGTGGAAGTGACTCCACTAGAGGAAGCTGATAATAGCCTCTCGAAATGGTATTTTGGCCTATTCTTTCACACTGGCCAAACATATTGAAAGAGCTGGGAGTACCCACACTTTAGCCCCCAAGACAAAGATCCCACATATTGCCTTAGAGATTTTTTTTTTAGGCAAGTGCTGTTAGCTACCGCCTATGAAGACTGGCACCGCACACAAGGGCGTGGGTGGCCGGCTCCATGCCGGGCCGCCTTTGTTTCCCCAGTGGCAATGTTTACCCGGTACTCATTTGAGACTGAGTTGACCTAGGGAAGGCCCAGGACTGGTTAAAATAATCGTCACTGGTTCGTTGCCCAATGCGCTAACCACTACTCTACCGCCCACCCCCACACACATGCTGCCTATCAACAAACTGTTGTTTACCCATTAATACTGCTGGGTGAACGGAGGCCGGGGTGGGAAGGAGGGGAGGGGTGATTTAATAAACTTGTACCATTGTTTCAACTACTGCGACCTCTGGAAGAGGTCAGAGTACTGGCACTTTATCCAACCACACGCGAACTGCCAATCGAATAATTGTGGTTTGCCCATTTATACTGCTGGGTGGACATTACTTCAACTGTCTCGCCGGTAGATTGAACCAGCGACCACTGCATTGCAAGTGCAGTTTGCGGACCATTACACCCAGCGTTCTGAATGCGAGGGGCTTTGGTCACGAATCCTGTTATCCGGGGAAATTGTTTGTGTCGTCTAGGCGCCTGTCTGTGGATAAACAGAAAATATTATGATTTCGCTCCTGCTTCTGGGTTTTACTCCTTAACCACGGAAGACATCATTATCATCGGATGACTGTGGATGATTGGAATAATTTGCCACCATTTCTCGATTACTCCTCTTGTCTGCAGATGAGTCCAGAATATAAGGGTAATACAGTAAATGTGCAAATTGCATTTTTGCGCAGATAGTTTGAACTGAATGTAGAATAGTAGGTACTCGGCACAAGGATACGATGTGTATCACAATACAATATTGTGATAATGAGTGTGTGTTTGTTTATTCTACCTCGGCATACAAATAACTTTAAACTTGCGACACACGTTTTAGCCTTGGTGACATAGCCCACTAAATTATTACGATAATACGATAATCACCTGCAATTATTTCAATGTATTGAGAACCTGTTTTTAACATTTGTTTGTCTCCGCCAACTTTAATTGCAGGATTTTATTCAATTAAATATTGACTTATGATTAATTCAATGTTTTCACTTTAATGCGGCTGTTTTTGTTGTGATTTATATTTAGTTATGTTTTCATCTGATTTATAATTTATTCATTGTTGTACTTTAGTTTGTTACTGCTTTTTTTCATTTTTGTGACCAAAATTTTTCTACATTAGACTCCTGTGTTCACAAAATAAACCTGAAATTATTTCACTGAATTACCATATTGTTTCGTGTTTTCACATTGCTTTTTATTTCTCACTACTGAAATTAAAATACAAAATGTATTCATTTAATTGAGACACTCTTTGTCATTAATGTTTTAATTGTGCATAAAATGAACATTGTCCCTGCCATTGATTGTTAGGAAGTTCTCACTTACAATGTTGAATACAGAGATCATTAATCTACTGTGTCACAGCACTGGCAACTAATTTGTTATTTCCCTAACCGCAGTTGTCATACGGAGCGAGGAAATAAGTTCAATTGCAGGTGGCTAGTTGGAGTTTTTATTTGTGTTGGTATTCTGATATACTTTTTTATTCTGATTTTATTTTTCTGTACAAGTGTTTTGATATACTGTGAATCGCACTTC